CTAGTGCTTAGTACTCCCCACCCAGCGTCACTTCAAAGGCTTCAAGGAAATCACAAGTCATCTCTATTCTTGCTTTGCTAGGACCGACCCTGCTGCCCCAGGCTCTGCCTGCCACACAGCCTTCGGGTCCTGTTTCCTCAGGTCAGGAAGCCTGTACACATGGGTGACCTTCCCCTTCTGGTGTTTGCCTTTCTACTTCCCATTCTGGCCTCCTTAACTAGCCAGAGGCACCGATGGGAACTTGATTTTTCACAGCCAACTGTACATAGAGGGGGAAGAAAGGAAGACAGGAGGGGGGCTAGAAACAAAAGAAGAGAAACATGCATGATTTTCTCATCGTCACCACCAGCCTTCAAAAGAGCAGTGTTTCATTCTCTTCGCACTGGAGATTGGAGAAGTGAAATCCTTTGCCCAAAGTCTCATAAAGAGAGAAAGGGGCCATGATCTGAATCTGGGGCTTGGAGATTCCAGAGCCAGATTTCATCTCTTCCACTGCACTGCTTCTAAAGAAACTCTCCTCAATACGTGTGTGGACTTTGGATTGTCCCCAAACGTGGATCTGCAGTGCTCAAAAGCAAAGGAATGCAGTTCCCCTCAGAGAGGCTCTAGATTGTGTTTATTTCATGGGAGTCATCTCCCTGGCACTTGGCTCCTTCCCCATCTCTCTCTTGTCTGCGAATAGGCTCAACAGGAAGATGGCTTGATTTGGGTGGAGTAAAGAAGCCGGGCTTGCACCAGCCAGTGGCAGCCAGCCAGCCAGCCAGCAGCCTCGCTGCCTACCCAGCGGTGGTTTCTGCCTCCTGTGGCTGGCACTTCTGAAATGAGTCATCACTCTGTGTCTGCTCCCCCTCTTCCTCTCCTCCGCCAGCCTTGCCGTGGCAGCCACACGAGAGCTCTGCAACTTTCTGAGATTTTAAAGTGGGGAAGTAGATACTGAATCTAGAATGAGGAAGGGAGAAAAGTTCGTTATGGTTTCAAATGCACAACCCATGGGACCCACTGGTCTTTGTGCTTTTCGTGTCCCAAATCTCAACGATTGGCGTTTAGAGAGGGTTAGCCAGTATGTACATTGCGAGATGAAGCTTTCAGACTCAGTGAGAGATGAATATTTGGGAGCTCATTGTATAACACACATCTGTCAGTGTCTTCGGGGTCAGAGTAAAGAAAACTTGAAGCTACGCAGACGAAAAAGGAAGCACCCGTTTGCAGCAGGTAGCAAAAGTGGAATCGCCAAGAGAAGAGAATTGTCCTCCCGTTGTTCATCGATTTGCTCGAGCGGGCCCAGTAACATCTCCATTGGAGACTTTTTGTTGTTACTGTGTTTGGCATATCAAATACATCACAGGTAGCTTGCCAGGCTCTGCCGTGATACTCTCGTAGCTTGCTGGGCTCTCCAAGAGGGGCAGAGGAATCGAACTCGGGTCGGACATGTTGGCTGCGTGCAAGGCAAACGCCCTACCGCTGTGCTATCGCTCAGACCCCAGAAAAGGTGTTGGTTGATATAGACAGAAGGACGGTGGCCATGGAAGTCGGAATCCGCTAAGGAATCGCCAAATAAATTTTATTTCTCTTGGATTTAAGCATCTTTTGAAAAGAACCTTTAGTTTTAATGTTTCAGATATTATATGAACTTTTTTCATAATATCTTTTTTTCTTCTGTTTTGGGTCACATCCAGCAATGTACAGGGGTTACTCCTGGCTCTGCACTCAGGAATTACTCCTGGCAGTGCTCAGGGACCATATGGGATGCTGGGGATCGAACCTGGGTTGTCCGTGTGCAAGGCAAACACCCTACCTGCTGTGCTATTGCCCCAGTCCCTTATCATAATACCTGAAAGATGGAGGAACTATCCTTGAATTTACACGTCCTCATCCTGGGAAGAACCAGAGTGCAGAGAAAAGTGATTTGAAAATGTTAGAGACAGGGAAATGTTTGTAATTCTGTGTGCATGTTCACTGATAAAACTCTGGGATTTCAGTGAATTTTATGGAATGAGACATAAAGCTTCAACTGTGCTCAGTTCCTTGAGGTAGTACAGGATTTTTTGCTGATTTGCAAAACAGCATGCCTGGGATTTTCTGCTCCTGTGCACTCCTGCCAGCTGCCTGCAAATATTCCCATCAGATACTCTATCAAACAGAGATCCTGCCTCTGTTTGGGGGGTCCAGTCTCTGGTGCACTAGCTCAACTGGGTCCACCAGTGAAATAAACAGTGCTCTACCACTTCTCAAAGTGTGCTGCTTGCTTTTCGCTGACTCTTGGTACAAATTTCCACAACACTACACAGAGGCTGTAGAGATAGTACAGTGGGTAGCGTTGGATTCTCGGCATCACATAAGGTCCCCTTGGAACTGCCAGGAGTGATCCCTGAGCAAAGAGAAGTGATCCCTGATAGAGCATTTGCCTTGCACGTGGCCGACCCGGGTTCGATTTTCAGCATCCCATATGGTCCCCTAAGCACTGCCAGGAGTAACTCCTGAGTGCATGAGCCAGGCCTACCCCCTGTGCATTGCAAGTGTGACCCCAAAAAGAAAAAGAAAAAAAAACATCAGAACATCTTATCAACTTACCAACTTGCTCAGTGATTTTCCTAGTAGCATAGGATTCAAGAAAAATGGGTACATGCTTGCAAGGTTGACTGTGCTGCAGTTGTTCAGGAAACCTTTGAGTCATAAAACGGGGAAAAATCATAATGACTTGTCTAGTTGTTATTTGAAAGCTTTTATCTGTTTATTTGACTTTTTTGATGGTAGTCTTTCTCTAATGATACCTAGACTCTCTCTCTCTATATATATATATATGTGTGTGTGTGTAGAGAGCATATATATGCATGTAGAGAATATATGGGCTGGAGCGATAGCACAGCAGGTAGGGCTTTTGCCTTGCACATGGCCCACCGGGCCGACCCAGATTCGATTCCTCCGCTCCTCTCAAAGAGCCCAGCAAGCTACCGAGAGTATCTCGCCCACACGACAAAGCTTGGCAAGCTACCTGTGATGTATTCGATGTGCCAAACACAGAAACAAGTGTCACATGGAGACTTACTGGGCCCGCTCGAGAAAATCTATGGACTGAACATGTTTGCCACTCAATGCCTCTTTTGCAGACCACAACACCCAAAAGGAGAGAGAGAACACAGGGGATTGCCCTGCCACAGAGACAGGGGGGATGGGGGGATGGGGGTGGGAGGGATATTATCCATGGTGGTGGAAAATGGGCACTGGTGGAGGGATGGGTATCTGATCATTGTATAATTGAAACCAAAGCACAAAAATTGTAAATCTACAACTTTAAAAAAAATAAAATAAAATAAAGGGAAAAAAAAAAGAAAATCTATGAACAACGGGAGGACAGTGACAGTGACAGTGACAGAGCATATATATATATATATATATATATATAATATACTTAGCCAATGTTTCTCCATATATATTACATATATATATGTAGAGAGAGAGATTGGAGGCACTATGATTTATAATACTGTTCATGATAGAGTTTGATGCATATAGCATTCCAGCACTACACTTCCACTAGAGTGTAGAGTGTCTGTTTCCCATTGTTTAAGGGGCCCCTCCTGTTTTCCAACCCCCACTCCTCTGCCCTTGGTAAACTCCATTTTGTAAACGAGTTCTCAGGGTATGTTGTCTCCAGCCATCTCTTGTTCCCCTCCTATGTTTCTTTATATCCTGCTCATGAAAGAGATCATTCTGTGTCTGTTGCTCTCCTGACAGCGTCACTGAGCATCCCTTCGAGGTCTGTCTAGAAGGGATAGATAGCAGCAAACAGCACACTTTCATCTTTGCTTAGAGGCGAGTAGTATTCCATCATGTATATGTACCACAGTTGTTGTTGTTGTTGTTTTCATCCAGTCTTCTCTGTCTTGGACACTTGGGTTGCTTCCAATTTGGGTTACCTTAAACAATGCTGCAGTGAACATACAAGCACCAATTTCTTCCTTCAAATAGCATACTGGAACCCTTCCACCATCATTTATTATCAGGGAAATGCAAGTCAAAACAACAACTTCATACCAGTGATATTTGCACACATTAAAAAAAAAAAGAACAAAAAGGGGCCAGAGAAATAGTACAGAGGGTAGGATACTTAATTTGCAAGTAGTCAATCCTGGTTCAGTTCCTGGCACCACATATGGTCCTCTTGTCGCCTCTAAAAGTGATCCCCAAGCACAGAGCCAAGAATAAACCCTGAGTATTGGCAGGGATCGCCCCCAAACAAAAACAATCAGTGTTGGTGTGGTTGTGGGGAAAATTCTCACCCACTGTTGGTGGGAATGTCAACTCGTTCAAACCCTTTGGAAAACAATGTGGACATCTCAAAAAACTCAGAATCTTGAGTTTTCACACAACTTGACGATTCCACTTCTAGATGTTATGGTTTAAATCCTTAGCGCCATTTTTAAAAGTACATTTTTGATGGAGTGCGTAAGATTGAAAGTGTTAGCAAATATTTTTGGAGTATAAAATCTTTTATTTCTATTTCTCCTAGACTTATCCCACCTCTTAAAATTCATTATGAATAACACTGATGTGGAGATGAAACGTTTCCCTCTATTTTTATCTTCAAATGATCTTCTTTTTTGCTTCTGCACTTGCTAGATTTCTTCCAGCCTCTTACACTAGGGTCATAGTTTAGCTTGAGTCTGCAGCCAAATGCCCCCCAGCTGAAATGACCGCACCTCTGAAGTGGCGTTTTCCCAGGCCATTCCTGCCTTTCATAATGAGCCAGCCAGGAGGCAAGTTTGTCTCTCATTACAACAGAGCCTTGTATTAAGCCTGGTGCATAATTAGATGCAAGGAATTACAATCGGACCTCTCTTTGCAAGATCTTTGAGCATGGGTCCATGCTTAAGCCATTACTTTTATTTTTTAATCTAATGATTCTCTCTCTCTCTCTCTCTCTCTCTCTCTCTCTCTCTCTCTCTCTCTCTCTCTCTCGCCCTTTCTCAACAAATTTTATAATAACAACAATAAAACAGAAACCAAGGAAGCTCGGAGGTCTGCGGTTTTAAAAAGACTGGATCCCGAAAAGATTTCCACAAGACGCTTCAGAAGCAGACCTTTGAGTCGGAAATCTTGGAGTGCAGTGAACCCAGCGTTAAGGTATTTCCAATCAACAAACACGGTTACCAGGTGACAGGGCTGAGGCCCCAGGCTCCCTGTCAGTGTCTCTAACTGTGGAAAAAAAGGCTTAACTCTGAGTACTTGAAGTGAGGGACTCTGCCTTCTGAGTCACTGAGTCAGAGGTGGGGTTTTTTTTTCCTTTTTTTAACCAGCCATAGCACTGTAGCAACTGGCCTCCAGTTGTTCATCGATTTGCGAGAGCGGGCACCAGTAACATCTCCATTGTGAGACTTGTTACTGTTTTTGGCATGTCGAATGGGGAGTTTTCGAACCTGTGCAAGGCAACCGCCCTAGCCCTACCCGCTGTGCTATCGCTCTGGCCCTTTTGGAAAAACAAATCTACAGTCAAACAAATCCGTTCAGATGCAATTCCCAGTAACTCAATAATTAAAGTAGATGAAAGTGGAGGGTAGATCCTTGCCAGGGTGGGGGGGCCCCCTGGGACCTTTCCTTATAACAATTCCTGCAGAGACTCCCTGGTACCCCTGAGGCAGGCTACAGGATGATGAAAGCTTCCTGCTGAAAGCTGGTTCTTTGTGATTCTATCACACACTCACCCCGGGCGGGCGGGGTAGGTAAAGTCTGGACTCCAGTTCCCTGCCCCCTGGAAAACAAGGATAATTGTGACTAACTGCCTGACGCTGCTTGAGCAGTAAACAGGGTGAACGTGTGTAAAGTGTTTAGAGCAATGGAAGCTCATATTTAATGTCCAATATGTGCTGGCTTCTGTTGTTAGAAATCATGGTTACCGTGGAAAAGTCAGTGTCCCATACACCTGTGCCCAAGCAACAGTATTCACAAGGAGAAGGTAGAAACAGCCAAGGGTTTGAAGACAAGGGATGGATAAAGAAAATGAGTCATTTATGTATGGTTAAAGTGTTACTTAGTCTTCCAAAGGAAGGGGATATTCTGACAGAGTCTATCTATGACGAGCCTTTGAGGACACAGTGCAGAGGAAAGGAAGTAGTCACGAAAGCACCAGAATCCCACTTACAGGAGGTGTATGTGGGAGAGAGGGGGGGTCGCAGTGAGGGCAGGGGACAGGGTCCCAAGTTAAAGACAGAAAGAGAGCTGGAGGGGACCCAGGGAGGGATGAGGCAGAAACGGGAAGCCTCTGTGGAATGGGTAGAGAGTTTCAGTTTTGCAAGATGGAAAGTATCTGGAGATTGTTGGCACCACATAGGGGAAAGTATTTAACACACCAAGCTCTGCCTTGAAAGAGATGGTGGAGATGGCACATTTTGTGTTTATCCCAATTAAAATAAATGTCCTCAGCAATCTTATTCCATCAGCCCATTTTAAAGATGAGACAAATAAAACACAGAGGAACATCTGTCCTTGTCTGTCAGCCTGCAGGTGGCTCTTAACATAGCATCTCTCTCCCTATGGACTGGGACTGAGGGTTTTTCGTTGTTGGTTTGGGTTTGCGTTTTGTTTGGGGGCCACACCTGGCTGTGCTCAGGACTTTTCTCTGGCTCTGTGCCCAGGCATCATCTCTAGAATTGCTCTTGGGACCCTCTGAAGTGCCGGGAATAGAATCCCTGTCAACCACATGCAAGGCCAGTGCCTTACCCCGTATTATCTCTGGCCCTGACTGTACTTGATTTGAATTTTTTTCCCTTTCTTATTGAAGTATCATCAGTTTGCCATAATTTTTTTTTTGCTTTTTGGGTCACACCCAGCAATGCTCAGAGGTTACTCCTGGCTCTGAACTCTGGAATTATTCCTGGTGGTGTTCGGGGGGACCATATGGGATGCTGGGAATAGAACCCGGGTTAGCCGTGTGCAAGGCAAATGCCCTACCCACTGTGCTATTGCTCCAGTCCGATGCTATAATTTCATACCTCTTCTAAATGTGTATGACACACCAACATTCCCCCAATACTCCTGCATCCCTAGTCCTTGGACCCCCTTGTCCTTCCATTCTACCCACCGTCCTCTGGGGTAACCAAGTCTTGAGGTCAGAGGCCAAGTGTATGCTGCATCTGTTCTCCACTGGTGGGCTCTTAATCTGACTGGGAGAAGAATTATGAAACTGAACTGAACTTCGAAAATTGGCTTTGTTTCTCTCTTCCCTGGGGGGACATAACCCACTGGACACAGGATGCTGGAGCAGAATGCTTCCAGCCACTTCTTTGTCCTTAAGGCCCCCAGGAATCTCCACAGTGATGGCTCTACCTGGCTTGCATCAGCTCCTGACTGGGACAGGCCCAGTGCTTGGTGTCTTGACTATTCTGGTCCTGTTTATTTTTTTAATTAATTTTTATTAAAAACACCATGATTTGCAAAGTTGCTCATTAGACAGTTATTTCAAATGCTTCAACAACTATTAATCCTGTTTGATCCCATGGGGTGTCTTGGGGGATGACCCTCAGAGCTCAGAACTCCCCCTTCACCTTTCCTGATGGAGGGAGGAGGAGGAGGAGTGAAGCTGACAGGATGTAACTGGCTGCTTTTACCTAAGTGCGATGGCCACAAAGGCATAGAAAGGGGTGGTCCCAGCTGAAAAGCATTCTTACTGCCAACCCTCAGTTAATAACAGGAGATATCAAAATATATTTGGGGCTGGGGAGAGAGTGCAGGGATTAAAGCGCTGGCCTTGCAGGGGTCTGGAATTGAGATTTTAGGATGAAGCCCCTTTCTCCCCTAGATAATCTCCTTCCGGCTAAACCCATTCCAGGGTCCAGCCAGATGCATGGTTGCTAAGACCTGGATCCAGGCCAGAAGAAAGCACATCCCCAAGGAGCAGAGCTGTGGGGCTGGAGCGATAGCACAGCGGGTAGGGCATTTGCCTTGCATGCGGCTGACCCGGGTTCAATTCCCAGCATCACAGATGGTTCCCTGAGCACCGCCAGGAGTAACTCCTGAGTGCAGAGCCAGGAGTAACCCCTGTGGATCACCAGGTGTGACCCAAAAAGCAAAAAACAACAACAACAACAAAAGAGCAGAGTTGTTTTCAAGGCTTTCCTCAAGCCTGGGGTTCTTGCCACCCAGTGAATAAATTACTTCCTTTGAGGGGGAAGAATATTTCATCAGGGAATCTGGAGGCCAGAGGCAGCTTGGACATCATGGCAGCCAAAGCCCTAAGTTATTCAGAAATTCTTTTTTTTTTTTTATTAGTGAAACACCATGAGGTACAGTTGTAGACTTACAAATTTTTGTGCTTGGGTTTTGATTATACAATGATCAAGTACCCATCCCTCCACCAGTGCCCATTTTCCACCACCACGGGTCCTAGTATCCCTCCCACCCCCCATCCCCCATCCCACCCTGCCTCTGTGGCAGGGCATTCCCTTTTGTTCTCTCTCCCCTTTTGGGTGCTGTGGTCTGCAAAAGAGGCATTGAGTGGCAATCATGTTCGGTTCATAGTCTACTTTCAACATGCATCTCCCCTCTTGGGAGGATCCTCCAAACACCCTTTATCTGGTGCTCCCTTCTCCATCTGAGCTGCCCTTTCCCCTAGAATGCCCGGCTGGCCTCTAAGCTATGGAGTGATCCTCCTGGTACTGATCTCGGCTATTCTCAGGTGTTAGTCTCCTATTTTGTTACTTTATGTCCCCCCAGATGAATGCGATCTTTTTATGTCTATCCCTCTCTTCAGAAATTCTTAAGACCTGACTCTGCTGCCTCTCCTTGGGGTCATCACAAGGCATCCCCAGGTCTTTAATTTTCACCTTAGAGGCCCCCCAGTCTTGCTCACAAAGCTCTGCCTTCACTCCTAGGCCAGCCCCCGCCACGTCAGCGTGCTGTGTGATGTGTCCGGGAAAGGGCCCCTCACGGCCTGTGGCTTCGACCTGCGCAGCCTGAAGCCCGATCAGCGGCTGGACAAACTCCTACAGCGCGTGAGCTCTGAGGACTTTGAGAAGCAGAATGAGGAGGCCCGGAGGACCAATCGTCCAGCTGAGCTCTTTGCCCTTTATCCGTCCGTGGATGAGGTTGGTGCAGCCTCTCCTCAGGGGAGTGTTTCTGTGGTGGTGCAGAGGTTCTCCAGGGAAATATCATCATTTGTGGCTGTTGTGGAGTTGTGCCAGGGTGCTTAAAATCGGGTTCTTTTTGCACTCAGCCAGTCCGTCAGAGCAGCCAGTTCTTGGTCATCGTACAATTTAGACCCCATCGTAAAAGGATTGTTGTTACCCTGTGCAAAACAGTTCTCTCACTTAATACAGTTCTCTACTGCATGCAGTGAATCAAACCATTGCATTATTTGGAGGTAATCCTGATACTGCATCTATCAGGACCAGTGTCACATAAGCCTTGAATGTTCTGTCATGTCTGTTTAAGGTTAAGAATTTTTCCTTTTTGGGGGCTGGAGCGATAGCACAGCGGGTAGGGTGTTTGCCTTGCCTACGGCCGACCCGGGTTCGATCCCCAGCATCCTATATGGTCCCCCGAGCACTGCCAGGAGTAATTCCTGAGTGCAGAGCCAGGAGTATCCCCTGTGCATCGCTGGGTGTGACCCAAAAAAGCAAAAAAAAAAAAAGAATTTTTCCTTTTTGGATAGTCTCTGTAAGCCACCTGAGAATGTGCCTTGCCAGTCCCAAGCAGAAATGGCCACAATCTCACTCCCAGCGCGCAGAATGTGGTGGTCTTGATTGTCCGCTTCTCTGGATGTAGTGCACCAATCCCAGAAACAAGGTGATCACTTAAGATATGAAGAGATGAGGAAATGACCACGATTCAAGCCTGTGTAGGCTCCCTATTGTTTTCTCTTTTTTTATTTTCAGGGCCACACCTGGCAGTGCTTAGGGCTTCCTCCTGGCTCTGCTCTCAGGGATCACTTCTTGCTGGCTTGGGGAATTATATGGAATTTTCAGGGATCGAACCCAGATCAACCACATGCCAGGAAGTGTCCCTAGTCACTGTTCCATCTCTCCTGCCCCTAGGTTCCTTATACTTCATACATGGCTCTCTGTCCTTCTAATTTTTACTCCCTCAAAAGAAAACCTTGTGAAAGGTACAGTTTTGACCAGCCATAAGATGTTGTGATTTGGACAACGAATAATTTTGTATCACTATTACTGTATATTCTGGTAAAGAAATTTAGAAGAGACATAGTTTTATTTTATATTCTATATTCGATTCTTCCCCAAAGTCACTTTAATTCTAGGATGCAGTCTGTGTTTATCCCTAAGGAAGATGTCAGATCTTAAAAAGAGTTTGCATTAGGTTCTAAGTGACAGAATAAACTTTTTAAAAGGTAAATTAAAATGGGACACTTGAGCTGGATACTGAATTTAGGATCTAACACAATTCCCTTGTATGCAACAACCTGGGTTCATTCCCTGTTATCTCATACGGTACCTGAAGCGGTGCTAGGAGTGATCCCTGAGCACAGAGCCAGGAGTAAGTTCTGAACATCACTGGGTGTGACCCAAAAGCAAAAAAAAAGGTGGGGGGAGGGATGAAATCACTCGTGGATGAAATCACAAATAAGCAAGTAGAGACTTGGCCGATGGATACATTGTATCAGCTGATGGAAGAGCCGTCATCACTTGTATCTTTCTCTTATAATTTAAGATATAATTTAATTCTACATTAATTAATATAGATTCATCAAGTGGCAACTGCACTTCTAATAATAAAGATGCTAGGGTTTCTCTAAAGTGTTCAGTAGGAAGCTTCCCATCATTTATAGTCTGGGAATATTTAATTAGAGATGACTCTATTCTTTGAACTCTTGGGAGCTGCACACCACTCACCGGTGTTTGAATAGCTCATCGCAAAAGCGTTAAAAAGGTGTTAGGGATTTGCACTGTTTATCTGTGCAGACATGCATGTACATAATTAAGGTAGGGTGATCATTTAGATTTGAATGTTGAACGTTACAATTGGGACCTTAAGAAAGTCTTTTGTTGGCCTATGTAGTGAAATCAACAGGTATATCTCTCAATTTTTCATCGCTAAAGTTTCCTATACTTGGCAAGTTCTCGTTGGACATTTTGTAGAGAAGTATTAAGTTCTACCCCAAATCTCTTTTAAGTATTTAAGTACACAGTGAACTGGGAAAGACTTTCGTGTTAGAGTATTGAAGCTATACAGCCTTGAGTTCACTAGTCTGACTCAGATCCCAAATCTGAAATGCACGTGTGCAGAAGTAAAGTCCTTGACTGAAGAACTGTTCCAACTGTACATATAGGGGGACAGAAAAACAGAAGCAAAAGCACCCACACATACAACAGCAACAATAGTAGTGTAAGATTCTTTAAACCATCTGGTGGATATTACTAAGCCATATGCATGTCAGATTTCCTTCCTTCCTCTCTTGGTCTTTTTGTCTTATAAATGCTTGAATTTCTGGAATGACAAAATGTTTTCTGTAAGTGCTGACTTGGAGGCTGGAAGGGAGAGGGGGGCTGGATAACACACTCTCCTGTAAAAGACAGTGTTATTGTGCCATTAAAAATAGAGCAAATGCTAGTATTCCCTTCCCTGCATTAATTCCAACTGGAACACTTCACAGACAGTCACTTACGATTTCTTTACAATGTGATTAATCACAGGAAGATGCTGTGGAAATACGTCCGGTACCAGAATGTCCTAAGGAACATTTGGGCAATAGGATATTGGTCAAGCTGCAAACCCTGAAGTAAGTATCAGCCAACTTACTTATCACTGTATAGAGTTTTGTTCTTGCATTTTAGGTGCAAACTGTCTTTATCAGCAGAGTTGGAATCAGGGAGGGTCTCTGGATGCGCTTAGGGGGCGACTGTCAGTCAGTGGAAAGAGCAGAGTTTCTAGTCTGCTAGACTAAGGAAGGCAAGCACTCAGGTTAGACATGTAACTGAGGGAAATGACCTACATTACTAAGGTAAGAAAAAAGAAGAGTGAAGGCCAGGAGTGTACTAGAATCAACTCTAATTCCTGAAAGCTGATTAGATACTTCTTTATTCAACAAAGTCACATCCATAGCTTAAAACTGGTTACAGTAGGGATTTTTATGCCCTTAAAATAAGTAAATGCTACACATTAGAGGTTTCTATCTCTCAGAGACTTGCTTATTAAATATTTGCCGGTACACCACAGTTGGAACACAATGATAAATGCTACTCAACCCCAATCCTAACACTCAGGGACAATGGGTAATAGTATGTACTGTGACAAATTATCTTAAGGGATAAGGTGCCACTGCTTACTTTCCAAGTAAACAAGTCCATTTTGGTCAATTGCCTTTTTTTCCATTATAAGCTGGAACCCCAGATTTTTCTGCATAATTTCCTGACTTTTTAAATATTCTTTCACTTCCTCTTTAAACAACACACAATTCAAACAAAGCACATTTAGAGTCTGGATTCTACTTGTGGGCCCATTATCTCCCACATCTATTTTAAAATGTGTGTCTCCAGACTCCTGGGTTGTTTACTCTCTTACAGTAAAAAGTATTATGTGTCCACTGTACATTGATTCACTTTGTAATAATGTTAAAATATTATGCACACTATAAAAAGCGTGTATTTCAGGTGCACACATGTTAAGGTATCCAGATTAGACAGAATAAGGTGATAGATTAAAAAATTAAATTACATGCTGCGTACATTATAAAACACATAGATGAGATCTTTCAAAGGGTGAACTAAAGTAGCAATCCCAGTATTTTTTCCTGCACTCTAATTCGACTGTCTTCTGTAGCCCCTGGGGTGTGAGTGTACCCTCGTTCCTCTTGGCAGATGCCTGCCTTAGAAAATCGCGTTTGTGCATTTCTCCCAATCACAAAATCTGGAAGATATTTAGTGTCAACACTTAACTGAGGCAAAAAGATGAGCAGGAGTTCCCGATGCCCTCTGCCTCTGGCCCCTTGATTCCTGGGCCTGCAGCAGCACCTGGCTTGCAGTGAAGCATCTGAGTTCTGACGTCAAGGCTGTGTTTCAATGCTGGTACCTGTTTGTACACAAAGAGGGCAGAACCGTGGACCGTAACTCCTGGTTCTCAGGTGCAGCGAGCCCTGTACTTCTCCTGACATGCTGTGAGGGTGATAAGACTTTTCTCTCGATCTTGTGTCCCCTCCCGCAGCCAGTTGGACCCTGAGGAGTTGGACTGTTGATCTGTCCAGAGAGATGAGCCTTCTGGTTGATAACCAAACACTGCTTGGAATCAGGAGTTCAGAAAGGCAAACTTCAGCCCACTGGGAGTTTTTAACACTTTGGCAGGAGGAGGCAATGGAGAACAGCGGGCACCCCACCCCCCTCTGCCTTATTCAAGATGCTCAGGCTCTGGCTGGGCCCCATCCCTGCCAATGCGCGTCCAACCACCTTTATTAAAATAATAATTAATTAACAATTTTTTAGATTGTATTTGATCTTTTTTAAAGAGATGTGAGATACACAGTTATAAAGTTGTTCATGATTGGGTTTCAGCCATACACAGTGTTAGAATACACAGTGTTTGAACACCTGTGTACATTTCTTATTACCAATGTCCCCAGTTTCCATCACAGCATCCCCTGTCCCAGTCTGCCTCTATGTCAGGCTCTCTCTCTCTCTCACTCTCTCTGCCTCTCTCTGTCTGTCTCTGTCTCTGTCTCTCTCTCTGTCTCGCTCTCTCTGCCTCTCTCTGTCTGTCTCTGTCTCTGTCTCGCTCTCTCTCTCTGCCTCTCTCTGTCTCGCTCTCTCTCTGCCTCTCTCTGTCTCGCTCTCACTCTGCCTCTCTCTGTCTCTGTCTCTGTCTCTGCCTCTCTCTGTCTGTCTCTGTCTCTCTCTCTGTCTCTCTCTGTCTCTCTCTCTGCCTCTCTCTTGTCTGTCTCTGTCACTTTAAATCTAAGGAAAAGCAACTGAACTCCTCTCTCTTTCTCCCTCTCTTCCTCCCTCCACCTCTCTCTCTTTCTCTCTCTCTCTCTCTCTCTCTCTCTCTCTCAATTTCCTAAAAATCCCTTAGAATAGATTAATAGGGATTCTTAGCCTAAAAGTAGAATGTAGACTTCAATGAAGCCTGTACCTAAAACACAGACAGGAACCTTGAAAACGCCCCAGATATGGTAAGAAGTGCCATGTGGCCTCCAACCATTCTCCTATTCCACCTACGTGCGTTTCTTGGTTGAGATGCAACATCTCCCTTGAACTCCAAGAGCTTGTAGTTTTCTTGAACCTCCCCTATTTTGCCATTAATATCCCAGTGTGATTCTCCTTTACGTGGATTTTTTTTTCCAAACTTTTCTGCAAGGTAATTGCATTATTTTGTTGTTTGGTGGCCACATCCGGCAGTGCTCAGGGAGTACTCCTGACTCTGTGCTCAGGGATTCTGCCTGGTGATGTTCAGGGGAGTATGTGGTGTCAAATCTGGGTGGGCTGCATGCAAAGGAAGCACCTTTCCCACGGTACTATCGCTCTAGCCCCCATGTTTACATTGTTAACCAGTTTTTATTTCCAGGCACTTTAAGAAAAATTCAAAATTATCTAAGTTAAAGCCCTATGGACTTTTCTCTCTTTCCTCCACAGGTTTGAGATTGAAATTGAGCCTCTCTTTGCCAGCATTGCTCTCTACGATGTTAAAGAAAGAAAAAAGGTAATAAAGCAAATGGCAACCCATCTCTGAAGGCATACATACTGTTCATGATTCTTTGGCTTCGTGGTTCTGGGTTTTGCTTCTGTGTAGCACAACACATCAGATTTGAAAGCAAAGTACCCCTGGTGTGTCTCGTTTGGTTGCTTTGTCATTTTTGAAAGAATGATTTGGGAACATTAGCCATTTATGTTCTTTGAAAGAGCCTTAAGAGAAAGCGTTCCAGAAATGGTGGCCTGATAGGGATACAGTGCAAAACAAAATAGAAGAATATCGAGGTCCACATAAAGCAATTTTCAGTGAGTATTAAATTTGTTCAAAAGATACACACCTTTATTGTTTGGGGTTTTTTTTACATACCTGGTGGTGCTCAGGTTTTAATCCTGGCTTTGCACTCGGGGATCAATCCTGGTGGGTTTGGGGGACCATATAGGATGCTGGGGATCAAGCCCGGATTGGCCACATGCAAGGCAAGAGCCTTAACCGCTGTAGTATCATTCCACCCCCAAAACACACTTCCTTAAACACGGAATTGTTGCTGAAAAGAGGCAGAAGTTGACTCTTCTGATTTTGCTATTTGAGTCCTCTGGAGTTTACAAAATAATGAATAATTAAAACACTCCTGGGGAAGTCAGGTCCTGTTCTTGAATTCTTTTCCATGAAAAGTGTATTACAGTTGGTCAGATTCTCACCCGGTGGCAAAGTTAGACTTTCTCCGCTGTCCATTTATGATAAACCTCTTACACAATACAAAAAAATTTCTAGGTCTGGAGTGATATCACAGCGGGTAGGGCATTTGCCTTGCACGCGGCTGACCCGGGTTCAATTCCAAGCATCCCATATGGTCCCCTGAGCACCGCCAGGAGTAATTCCTGAGTGTAGAGCCAGGAGTAACCCTTGTGCATCTCCGGGTGTGACCCAAAAAGCAAAAAAAAAAATTTCTAAGCTGAAGAAACATTACATACGTTAATGAGCTTGTTTAAAACGTATTTGAGTGGCCAGAGATAGTACAGGGAGTAAGACACTTGTTTTACACGAGGCTGACCTGATTTGATCCTCAACTTATAAATGATTCCCCCAAACACTGTCAGGAACAAGTTTGTACACCGCTGGATGTGGCCCAAAAGGGAAAAAAAGATCATTTACAAGAGAACTGCACAGAACTCTGGGAGTATCTGTGTGAGCCAATGAGATGGCCTGCTCATGAAACAAGTTTTCATGGAGCCAGAGAGGTGGATAAGGTACTTGACTTACACTTGGTCAACGCTTTTTTTATCCCTAGCATTTTTTCTTTCTTTTGGAATTTGGGCCCCTCAAATACATATTTAACAAGCTCAGAGATGTATGTAACCCCTGTACTATTTCTCTAGCTCAGAATGTGCATTTCTGACCCCTTCCCAGGTGATGCTAAATTTGCTGGCAGGATCCATATTTTGAGAGCTGTTGACTTTAAGTAATGTTCATCTTTGTTTCTTAGTCAAGAGTGGGGGTGAGGGAATAGCTCTGTAGACTGCGCCCACTTGTTCACTTGGCATCCTGAGCTGGCAGTGGCTTCCTCATCTTCTCTATGTGCCTTGAAAGTCACTTTTGAAAGTCATTCTTACAAGTTTACAATTCTCCATTACCCTCAATGATGCTCCTCTTTTACCCTCTGGAATTCCCATAGCACTTTTTTGTAGGAACACTTGAGTTTTGCTCTTCCTGTAGCTGTTCATTTATTTGCCGTTTCCTCCTCCTTGACAGTAAATTAACTGAAGCAGAGTCAATACCCCGTTTCTCTTTGGTCCAGCACCTTGCACCTCTTGGCTATTCAGGAAATACCGGGTAGGTTAGGAAACACCTGAACACTTCAAGGAACATCTCCTAAATGTCTCCAAAATATCTAAAGACCTTGGTGAAATATCTATCTTTTCCAACAACCACTCCACAAAGATAGTTATTCCTCAGGCAAAATTTCTTAGTGTGTTTATGTTCCACACGATGAGACCACAAGGACCCTGGGTGTGACTTATTTTTCTGTTGTGCTTGCTCATTTGCAGATCTCAGAAAATTTCCATTGTGACCTGAACTCAGATCAGTTCAAAGGATTCCTGCGTGCTCACACACCCTCTGTGGCTGCATCAAGTCAGGCGAGATCCGCGGTGTTCTCTGTCACCTTCCCATCCCCGGACATCTACCTGGTCATCAAGGTAGCTAAATGCTGTCTGGTTTGCAAATTCCAATGTTCCCAGGGTGACGTGTTTGGGCAGAAGCAATGTCAGAGCCTGTGACACCGTTTTGTTTCCTTCCCAACTCACTCCTTTCCTCTAACCAGCAAATTCCGTATTGATTACTGGAATGACTGTTTCCTGGAATGACTACAGATTTGGGAGTCAGACAGTACTAATTTTGAATCCTGGCTTTGAAGCCAGTGTTATGGCTTTGGTCAGTTACCTAACCATTTTAGTGACTGGTGCCTATAGAGAGGAGACAGAAACACTTTTCTCAACAGACCTTTTGCTTCTGGAATAAAAATTTGCTTCTTTGTTCCACTATTCTCAGTTCTACAAAATAAGCAATCTGCCTTCAGCTCCAACCTGTGATACCTTCCTGGCGGCAGTCAGTTTCTCTCTAGACCCAGAGTTATGTTTCCTAGCATTGGTCATGGGGAGGTATGGGCAATAGTTTCCGAGTGTCACTCTTCCTTTCTATCACCACCTCACAGACTCAGACCAGTGGGAGTCAAATCTGTGAGCAGTTATAAAAAGAAGAGCGTCCCATTCTACTCTAAACTCTTGCTCACCTAAGAAACTCAAGATTTTGTATACCATGATGATTAGGTAAAGAAGATCGGTCGCCTTCTACATTACATCCCACCCATTCTGGTGCGCTGCCCCTGGTCTATCAGTGTTGCAGAGTGTGAGATGTTTTGTGACCTTGAATGCAGCCCTGTGCTCCAGGGTGTTCCAAATATTTAACGGGTTGATGCAGCTGGAGTTAAATTTTTAACTGGGTTGAGGCTTTGGGGTGTGTATGTGACTGTCAGAGCTTCCAGAGGTAGAGAGAGAGATTTGAGTTAACCCGTCCCCAACTGGTGGAAGCATAGCGATTTCAGTCACAAGCCCCACATACCTGAGTTTTTCAAAAGATTAATTTCTGGATGGGGCTCATCCCAAGCTGTGGAGTCCGGCCAGGAGCATGGCAGCGTCTGTGGGCTGTGGAGGTTTCCAGTGTCGTGGTTCTATTTGCGCAGATGCTGGGTTCAGCTCCCTGCCCTCCAGGGTGCCCCGAATGGCTCAACCTTTCGAGGAGTCCAGGAGAAATTCTGCCTCAAGATCACTTTTATATCTTGGTCAGCTGACCAGTTGAAGGTTGAGGAGCAGTAGTACTGTGTGTAGCACTGTCCTCCCGTCGTTCATCGATTTGCTCGAGCGGGCACCAGTGACATCTCCATCATGAGACTTGTTGTTACTGTTTTTGGCATACCGAATACGCCACAGGGAGCTTGCCAGGCTTTGCCATGAGGGTGAGATACTCTCAGTAGCTTGCTGGGCTCTCCGAGAGGGGCGGAGGAATCAAACCCGGGTCGGCTACGTACAAAGCAAATGCCATACCCGTTGTGCTATTGCTCCAGTGCCGTCTACGGCCATACCACTCTCTGAACGTGCCCGATCTCATCTGGGGAGCAGTCATGACAGTATATCTAATATAAAGCTTTAAAGCAGGAGGGGGGGTCCTTGCCTCACATGTGGCTGCTGCAGGTTCAACTTCTGGAAGTCTCCATCATGTCCCCCAAGCCCCACCAGGAGAGATCCTTTGTGAGGCCGAAAAAGAACCTCACATGTGCCATGACAGGCTGCATTTCAGCAAAACCAGCAGTAGACCTACGTTTCTGTATCCCCAAAGCATAGGTTTCGAGTTCCCTGAGACAGTCCTTGGCCAAAGCTGAAAATCCCCTCGCCACCGCTTGCCAGTCCTGTGATAAGTAGGATATCTCTGGGCACAGCATGTGGGCATGATAAAGTAGATCACAGACTTGTGACTGCTTCGTCAAAATTCTCAGGAAAACCACCAACTTTGCTTAAGTAACCATATGCGATAGAATGTTCCCTGGAACTAGGGTCGGAGTCCTTGTCAAAATTCCACTGTGTCGAATGAGGCTTGGACCCTAGCTCGAGCTAGCAATCAAAGTTCCTTTGCTTTTGCATTCTCACTTGTGGAACTGGTCTCTCTGTGAATGGGAAACCCAGAACCCGGGTATAATGCCGTGAGCACGGAGCCAAGATAGGAGGAAGCCCTGAGCACTGATGGGTGTGACCCCAAACCCCAAAGACATAAAGAATATGTGCTATTGGATTTTATCTTGTTTAAATCTTAGGCACCGTGGCTTACAGCCCTGTTCATGGATAGGTTTCATTCATTCAGTGTTCCAACCCCACCCCACCCCACCGGTTCTACTTCCCTCGACCATTGTCTGAGCGTCCCCCACCAGTTACTCCTTCCTCCCTCATTTTATCTTTAGTGAGTTTCGAACAAGGACATAGGCTAATAGGGCTTAATCCTTTTTTTTCTCTTCAATATATGAGCTAAATTTTCCTTCCTTCCTTCCTTCCTTCCTTCCTTCCTTCCTTCCTTCCTCCCTCCCTCCCTTCCTCTCTTCCTTCCTCTCTCCCTCCCTTCCTACCTTCTTTTCTCCCTTCCTTTCTCCCTCTCTTCCTTCCCTCCTTCTTTCTTTCCCTCTCTTCTTTTCCTCCTTCTTTTCTTCCCTTTCTTCCTTCCCTCCTTCTTTCCTTCCCTCCCCTCCCTTCCTCCCTTCCTCCCTTCATCTCTCCCTACCTCCCTCCCTCCATCCCTCCCTTCATTCCTTCATCCCTCCCCTCCTTCCTCCCTCCCTCCCTCCATCCCTCCCTCCCTCTCTTCCTTCCTTCCTTCCTTCCTTCCTTCCTTCCTTCCTTCCTTCCTTCCTTCCTTCGTTCCTTCCTTCCTCCCTCCCTTCCTACCTTCCTTTGTCCCTTCCTTTCTCCCTCTCTTCCTTCTTTCCTTCCCTTCCTTCCTTCCCTCCCTCCCTCCCTCCCTTCCTTCCTTCTTTTCTTCCTTCCTTTCTGTCTTTGAGACTGCACCTCATGATGTTCAGTGGCTATTCCCAGCTTGGTGTTCTGATCTCTCTCAGCAGTGCTCAGAGGGACCATCCATTTTGCATGCAAAGAATGATCTTCAGCCTTGAGCTATCTATCCCCCTGGCCCAGAGTTAATTTTTCTTTAAGCAGAAATTTCTCCTCTACTGTATATGCAATATGATGATTAAACATATCCAGTCCTTTATCAAATGTAAAATGGAAGACGAGATTTGAGAGCATGGTCACTTATTTCTGTTCCTGGTCAGTTAGCAAAGGGAGAAGCTGCACATGTCACCGCTTGAAGTTTTTTTTCTCAAGTTTGCTAAATCTAGAGAAGCAGCCCTAATGGGAAATACAAGGGAGACAATTACAGACAATTTATTCTGTTCATTTATTCATGCTGTGGAAGGTTTAGTTCCCAACCTGGCTTTTACAGGGATCATATCTCTTTTTAACATTGTAAGCAATAATAACGAAAATGAGCTTTGCCCTTCCTACATATGTCTCATGGGCTTTGTTTTATAAAATAACTTTTATTGCATTTTTTATTGTAGTGTAGTGCATGTTTATTGTTTAAAAATAGGGGAAAAAATCACTTAAGCAATGGAAGAAAATAAAATAGCTCATAATCCCACCAGCAAAAATAACAACTATTAACATTTCATGTTTCTCTACTCTCATTCTTTTAATATGTTCCCTTTGGGGGTGGGAGGTTCTTGGGGGCCACCCCTGGCAGTTCTTAGGGGCTACTCTTGGCAATATTCAGGAGACCCTGTGTGGTACCTGGGATCAAACCAAGACCAGCTGCATGTAAGGAAGTGCTTTAATCCCTGTATTCTCTCTGGCTCTGCCCTTTTAATTCTTTTACAAAATTATATAGCACGTTTATTATTAATTTTAATAGACATATCTTGGACATCTTCATGATCACGATCATCCTGTTGTTCGTCGATTGCCTCGAGCAGGCACCAGTAACGTCTCCTTCTTCCTAGCCCTAGATTTTAAAAGAGCCATTTCAATGCTCTTTCAGGGTTAGGAGAATGAGACCCATCATTGTTACTGGTATTTGGCATATTGGGTACGACATGGGAAGTTTGCCAGACTCTGCCGTGCGGGCAAGATACTTTCGGTAGCCTGCCGGGTTCTCCAAAGGAAAAACGAGATAAGATTGTGCGTGGCCGTTCGATTCTGGGAGCTGGGTTTTATAATCTCTGCGTCTTGGCCATCGATGGGACCAACCTGGCGCTGGCGGCAGCTGGTGGGTGTGACGCCTACCTACTGGAAGATGGGGGATCTGGGTGGAGAAGGCCCAGTCCCAGTCCAAGCAGGCTTGGAGATCTCAGCCCGGGATCCACATGCCTGGATTCCTCTGCCAGTTCCTTCATGCATGAGGCTTGTCCGGACTTGTGGACAGTGGTCTCAGCATGGCTGTGGCTGGTTCTGGAGGTCTTCGGCTGCTGGGGCTCTGCTCGGGGTGGGGGAGGGAAACTCAACCCGCCTCCCTCCAAGGGGCCCCTGTGAGGACAGCCAGGTGCGGGGGCAGGAGACTCTGGACATCTTTCTATTGGACGTCTTACTATTATAAAAAATATTTGATGATTGATAGAGCAGTACGTGAATGAAATTCATATAGCACTGATTTGTTTGATTTTCTTTTCTGTTGCTAGATTGAAAAAGTCCTCCAACAGGGAGAGATTGGAGACTGTGCAGAGCCCTATATGGTCATCAAAGAAAGTGATGGTGGAAAGGTATGATATTTTAAATATTGCTAAATGGTGATCTTTTAGAATAATCAGATCTCTCTCAGAAATTATGCGTAGGGTTCAGTGTTTAGGAAGGAGAAGGACAGAGGAGGAAAGAAATCAAGGGAGTGGGCAGGGGAGAAGAGAATTGGCAGAAACAGGTGAACAGGCATCAAGGCTTCAGTTATACAGGTGATATGGGTGGGTGGTATATCCACATGTCCAAGACGCAGACTCGTCAACACTGAAAACTCTGTAATGTGCCTGTTGAGGTGTTGACAGGAGGGGTTGAGGTGAGGAAGGAATATAGAAACACGGGTGGAGGGAAGTTGACACTGGGGATGGGATCGGTATTAAAATATTATATGCCTAAAACTCAATGATCAATAACTTTGTAAATCACAGTTCGTTAATTACAAGCTAATTAATTAATTACAGTTAATTAATTAATTTTTTTAAAATTAAGAAAATAGGGGCTGGAGGAACAGCACAGCAGGGAGGGCATTTGCCTTGCACGCGGCCAACCCGGGTTCGATTCCCAGCATCCCATATGGTTCCCCGAGCACCACCAGGAGTGATTCCTGAGTGCATGAGCCAGGAGTAACCCCTGAGCATCACCGGGTGTGACCTAAAAAGCAAAAACAAACAAACAAACAAACAAACAGAAAAAGAATAAATGGGGAGGGACTGGAGCATAGCACAGCGGGTAGGGCATTTGCTGGATTCGATTTCCAGCATCCCATATGGTCCCCTGAGCATTGCCAGGAGTGATTCCTGAGTGCACGAACCAGGAGTAACCCCTGTGCATTGCCGGGTGTGACCCAAAAAAGCAAAAAAAAAAATTTAAGAAAATAATCAGTGAGTTTAATCCATACCTAATTATGTCCCCATGTTAGATACTAATAAGTTGCAGTTAAAAGAAAAACTTGTTGGTGGCGATAGTTTATTAAATGGATGATTGAACTCGAAAATAATGATATCCCCATCCACGGATGTCTGATTATAAAACATGACAAGGGCAAAACCATATCCTACTGCCCTGGTTTGAGGCTCTGACCTAATGGTTAGAGAGGGTCACAGAGGACCCCATGGAACATCCGTGCAGGAGCTCTGCAGGCCTTCCTCAGAGGCATGGACCACTGACCACTTTCTGGTCTGGATATTTGGAAACTGGACAAGACATCACTTATGTATTAGTACATTATAAATTTTGTGCCCATGATGAAGATGTATTTTCTTGGCACCTGTTCACAGGTTTCCCGTATGATTTTTTTTGAAACATGGCATTTCTGCAAAAGATGTCTTCATTAGCATCTCGTTATAAATTCATAAACTTCAAAAAGATTTATTGAACTCGGGAATTTTTTTCTCTTGAAATCTACATTTTATTCTGAATTCGAAAAGAACAAATCAAAAGTGACCTAAGGAACTACTAAGGGCACTCTTAGGAACGTTTATAGCTCTAATGTTCTCCAAGGCTGGAGTGATAGCACAGTGGTAGGGTGCTTGCCTTGCGCGCAGCCAGCCTGGCCGAGCCGGGCTCGATTCCTCTTCCCCTCTAGGAGAGCCTGGCAAGCTCCCCGTGACGTATTCAATATGCCAAACACAGTAACAAGAAGTCTCACAATGGAGACATTACTGGGCCCGCTCTAGCAAATCGATGAACAACGGGAGGACAGTGTTGTTGTTGTGTTTTCCAAGGCAGCTTCTGAAAAACAAGTTTGTACTGGAGCTTGGTGGATGATGTACAAGACCTTTTAGTTTGTTTTTGTTTGGGGGGAACTGCACCCAGCAGTGCTTGGAGATACAAAGGGAACTCATGCGCCAGGGTTACTCCCAATAGAACTTTGTGGTACCTGGTTCAAACCCAGGACCCCAGTTGGCAAAGCTCGAGACTTTTGAGCTATCTTCTGGACCTCACATATAAAAATTTTCTTTCATGGGGTGGGGTCGGGGGATCACACCTGGCTTATTCCTGGTTGTACACTTAGAAATTACTCCTGACAGGCTTACGGAACCCTATGGGATGTTGGGAATCTAACCGTGGTCAGTTCCCTGCAAAGCAAGCGCCCTACCCACTGTATTCACTCCAGACCCAAACTTTGTAGTTTAAGAGTTTCTCTCAAGTCATATAGCTGGCCTGTGATTGATTAGCTGGTATAACAAGCCTTGGACATTTCTGCTTTTTTTTCGGCAGAATATGCATTTAATAATTGATGTTGATTTTTAAAAAACCTTATTAAAAAAAAACAAAAATCTGTATTTGCTTGTCAGCTAGGCTTTCAGCCCAAAGGGAGTAATTCTTCTTCTATGTCCTCACTAATAGTAGAGCAAGGGTTTGGGAGATGGTCTTCATACCTAGGACGGAAGTAGTTGACCTGGTGCTAGCGTCCTCTAATTGTTTTGTATCTCTCTCCATTTTCCTCTAGAGTAAAGAAAAGATTGAAAAACTGAAGCTTCAAGCTGAATCCTTTTGCCAACGTTTGGGAAAATACAGGATGCCCTTCGCCTGGGCTCCCATAAGCTTAGCAAGCTTCTTTAATGTTTCCACCCTGGAGAGGGAGACGACGGACGTAGAGTCCACATTTGGTAAGATTGTTCATCGCAGTGGGGAAAAAAGGGTTTTCACATGCATGAAGTCAGCTGCTTCTTGTTAGGGATTTGAGGGTTCAGTAAGGTGTGGTGAACGGAAAGGAAGATTAGATAAATAGAACGAAACTCTATCAAAACTAAATTACAGGGGCTGGAGAGATAGCACAGCGGGTAGGGCATTTGCCTTGCACGCGAACGACCCGGGTTCGATTCCCAGCATCCCATATGGTCCCCTGAGCACCGCCAGGACTAACTCCTGAGTGAAGAGCCAGGAGTAACCCCTGTGCATCGCCAGGTGTGACCCAAAAAGCGAAAAAAAAAAACCCAAAAAACTAAATTACAAATATTTCATTGGTGATCTCCAGAGAAATGTTTATTAAGATTTATGGAACCTATATATACACTTGCATAAAAAAATTGGGATGGAATTTTCTGGAAAGTTTGATACTGTAAAAGTTAATTCGTGCAGTGACTTTGGCAGCACAGATATAATAAAATTAGAATACAGAGATTAGCCTGGGCCTTGCACAAGGATGACACACTTTCTGGGACACTCCAATTTCTTAAAATGTATTTTTTAGTTTTGGGGCTGCATCGAGCAGCACATAGGACTTAATCCTGTCTTTTCACTCAGGGATCACTCCTGGTGGAGGTTGGGGTCCCGTGGGGTGGTGGGGATCATACCTGGGTCAGGACTGTGCAAGGCAAGTGCACTACCCACTGTGCTGTTCCTCCAGCCCCACGTTCTATATTTTAACAGATTCTCAAAGGCAACAGAAACTGAGAACTGGTCTTCTTAGGGAGAAGCTAATCACAGTCAGAGGATGAGGGGTGGGGGACACTGGGAGAATGGGGAGGGAATCAGACACTCTAATGGATGGTGTGGTACGGGGATATTTTATGTACGAAACCTACCGATAGCAATTTGTAAACCACAATTCCTAAAATGTAATCGAAAGTAAAAAAAATTAAATAACAGTGTGAAAAAAGGCTAAAACGGTTTAGCGATGCAAATAAACCTTAATTTGCAGTAGCCTAATAAAATAAAAAATTTCATGGAGCTGGACAGTTAGTACAGCACTTGCCTTGCATGCAGCCAGCCCCGGTTGGATCCCCAGTACCACATATAGTTCCCCACGCACTGTCATAATTGATTCCCGAGCACAGAGACAGAAATAAGCCCTGAACATAGCCAGGAGTGGCCCAAAGATTCCCCTGTTGCCTACCCCCATAGTAAAAATTTTCAAAATAATAAGAAAATATAAAAACTGTCTGTTGGGTGTCAAACTATGTTTTTTTTTGTTTTTTGCTTTTTGGGTCACATCCGGCGATGCACAGGGGTTCCTCCTGGCTCATGCACTCAGGAATCACTCCTGGCGGTGCTCGGGGGACCATATGGGATGCTGGGAATCGAATCCGGGTCGGCCGCGTGCAAAGCAAACGCCCTACCCGCTGTGCTATCGCTCCAGCCCCCAAACAAACTCTGTTTGGCGAAGGAAATATGCAGGTGTCTTGGCAAAATCGCCCGCCTCTTCGAGTTTATCTTGCCAAGTGCGATGAAAAAGTCATTCCCGAAAGAATGTGTACTTTTCCAGCTTATTTCGCATCTTTCCCTTCTCATTTTTCAGCAGATCATTTCCTAAACAGTTTGGGTCTGGAGCTGTGTTGGGAAGCTGGTGTTTCCAAGCTGGCCCAGCCACGCGTGGCAGAGTTTCTGTTTCTGTTGTTCTGTTGCCTGTTATTCTTTGTATTCAGCAAATATTTAAGTCCCCCTTCACAGCTCTCATGCATTTCTTAGCCCTGCCACTTCTGAAATCTTGCCTTTATCGGGGATGGGGAGGGGAAAGTATTTTGTTATTACTGCTGCCATTCCAGAATTACTGTGCATAGTTGCTAGTCAAAATTCCTGAGTTTTTTTCTGATTTGTCAGTAATAAACCTCACTTTAGTACATCCTAGGCTTCACAGTATAATAATTGTTTGTTTGTTTGTTTGTTTGGGGGGCCACATCCACTGATGCTCCGGGCCTACTCCTGGCTCTTTGTTCAAGGGTGACTCCTGGTGGGCTCGGGGAATGATATGGGATGCTGGGAATTGAACCCAGGTCAGCCACATGCAAAGCAAATGCCCTACCGGCTGTAATATCGCTCTAACCCCAGGCCTTTGTTTTTTTTGTGTGTGTGACTTAAGTTGCCCTCCTGAAAGCATTATGCTTAGAGTTTCAGGAACACCAGAAACAAGGTAATCCAGGCATAAGACTTCCTGCGGTTTCAGTTGTCTCTGGGTCAAGGATAAATGAACCCAAGGCAGAGGTAGATTCTTTAGAAACAGCCAGAAGATGCAATATTTGATAAAGAGAAAGTGAGGCACGTTTAGGTGGGCAGTAACAGGGGGCAAGTTCTAATTCAGCTCGGAGCAAGAACTAAGACTAAAGGGGCTGGAGCAATAGCACAGCGGGCAGGGCATTTGCCTTGCACGCGACCGACCTGGGTTCGATTCCCAGCATCCCATATGGTCCCCCGAGCACCGCCAGGGGTAATTCCTGAGTGCAGAGCCAGGAGGAACCCCTGAGCATTGCCGGGTATGACCCAAAAAGAAAGAAAAAAAAAATTAAGACTAAAAAGTTTTCAGATCTTTAGTTCAGAACAAGAACTGGAAGTCAGTAATATTTGAGTTCTAAGCAATTTTGCCTCTCAAAACAGAAGCCCTGAGCCTCACCGGGTAAAAGTAAGAAGATTCTCACCGAGAAATGCGACAGGGCTGGAGGCACCTGCCTTGTATGTAGCCAAATCCCTGTTCAGTCCCCAGCACCACAGGTGGACCCCTGAGCACTGTCAGGAGTGATCCCTGAGTACTGAGTCAGAAGTAAGACATGAGCACTGCCAGGTCTACCCTTGCCCCTCAAAAAAAAAGTTGGGGAGATAAAAAGCACTCAGGGGTGGGGGAAGAGAGAGAGAGAGAGAGAGAGAGAGAGAGAGAGAGAGAGAGAGAGAGAGAGCACAAGAATTCAGACTCAGAATATCAGAATATACCCAGGCTTACCCTAGCATGCTGGGTCATAATCCCAGATGCCTGCAGGGCCATTTGAGTACATGCCTTTCCCAGTGGAATGTAAATGTAAAAATAAAATAAAACAAACACTGTTGACTAAATAAAGCTTATCTGCAGTCCCTGTTCTGACTACAGCTCTGGGCTTCTGCTGTGCTGTGTTTGGTCATCCCCTGTCTCTAGTGGGTTGGGTCTGGAGCTGTTCTTGGCCTCCTTGCCCTGATGAAAGAAGGATGAGAGGCTCCATCAGGGTGCTCAGGAAGGCAGGAAGCAGGGCCAGAGAGAGACACAGAGGGTAGGGCATTCACCTTTCCTGTGGCCTGCCCGGGTTTGATCCCCATCACTGCAGACGGTTCCCTGTGTGCTGCCAGCAGTGATCTCTGAGCCCTGAGCTCTGCCAGCTGTGGTCCCCAAATAAAACAAACAAAAAGGGTGGGAATCCGGGGAGGGAAATTTGCTCAGTGGTTGCAAACACTTCTTACAGAGGCAAAGTTGGGACCTGCAGGCCAGTCAAATCAAACGACCTCTGTTAGACTGACAGTTGTTGTTTTCCTTAAAGGGAGAAACTCTGCAGGCGATCGGAGAACGCTGAGCCAGAGTCGGAAGCTTTCTGAGAGAGCTCTCTCCTTGGAGGAGAATGGACTCGGCTCCAACTACAAGGCCACCACCATGACCCTTAACAGCTTCTTTAAGCAGGTATGTCCCCACGCCTCCATGTGTCTGGGTGGGGCCCCATCCTGACAAAGGTGTGAGTGCCCAAGAGGGACACTGACCACAGTTAAGGGAGCAAGTTCATTCACCTCACTAAGCCTCCCTTTGTTTAGCTACAGGATGCCATGATAGGGGCTGGAGCGATAGCACAGCAGGTAAGGCGTTTGCCTTGCCCATGGCCAACCCGGGTCCAATTCCCAGCATCCCATAGGGTCCCCTGAGCACTGCCAGGGGTAATTCCTGAGTGCAGAACCAGGAGTAACCCCTGAGCATCGCTGGGTGTGACCCAAAAAGCAAAAAAACAATAATGGTGCATCTTTTGTCGAAATGATGAATGTAATCAATGTAGAGAAGAGTTAAGTAGAAATCATCTGCCTCACAGGCATTGGGTGGGGTGGGAGGGGGGTATATTGGGGTTAATAAATAAAGCTATGAAAAAAAAAGTGAGGTGGAGTTCATGCCCAATTCAATCAGCTAATCAGTGGCTGAACAAATAACAGTACTCTTACATTAAAATGAAAAAGAAAAAGCAAAAAAAAAAAAGTCATGATGGTGTTGGTTCCATGTGGCAGTTGGAGAGTCACGTGATCTGAGGCATGTGAAACTCTCCTCCTAGTACTTGAGTATGGCAAGTACTCAGTGTATCAGTGGTGTAATCAATAGGTCCATGTGAGCACTCTCGGAGTATCATTTCATTCGGGTACCAGAGCCGTTGTACAGTTGCCTTGCGTGTCGCTTTACCTGGATTCAATCCACAGCACCATATGTGGTTCATCAGTAGTGATCCCTGAGCACCGAGGCAGGAGTAAGCCCAAGCCACCATGGAGTTAGTCACTGGAAACAGGGTGACTGAGATGCCCTTTCCCTCCCGTTCTCAGGGTGTCCTGGCCTGGCTGTTGGCCCTACATCATTCTCTCCCAGACTTTCTAGGACTGCCCGCCTGCTCAGAGAGAGTGGCCATCACAAGTGTACTGTAGTTGCTCAGTTAATGTTGTGACTGTTTGAAAAAAGAGGAGTTTCCTAAAGGAAACAAATTCCTAGAGCAGAAGGTAGAATGATGGTTGCCAGGAGCTAGGGAAAGTGGAGATCACGGAGATGTTGACTTATGCCTCAAGAGCTTTTGTTTGGCAAGATGAAAGTGTTCTGGAATGTGTTGCCCAGTGTCGATGGCCTTCACAGTGTTGAGCACAAAAGGTGAAGATGGCAAATTCTGTGTATTTAAAAAAACAAGAGAACCAGGGCCTGGAGTAATAGTACAGTAGATAGGGCGTTTGCCTTGCACACGGCAAGACCAGGTTCAATCCCCAGCACCTCATTTGGTCTCCTGGGCACTGCCGGGAGTGATCCCTGAGTGCAGGGCCAGGAATAAGTTCTGAGCATCACCATGTGTGGCCCAGAAATAAAAACTAATAAACATCTTTAATTATTCAAATTTTAGCACTGTAGCATCGTCCTCCCGTTGTTCATTGATTTGCTCGAGCGGGCCCAGTCACATCTCCATCGTGAGACTGTTGTTACTGTGTTTGGCATATCGAGTACGTCACGGGGAGCTTGTCAGGCTTTGCCGTGCGGGCGGGATACTCTCGGTAGCTTGCCGGGCTCTCCGAGAGGAGTAGAGGAATCGAACTTGGGTTGACCGGGGTTGGCCGCATGCAAGGCAAACGCCCCACCTGCTGTGCTATCACTCCAGCCCAAATTTTAAAATGAAAAAATTTAGACTTCATTTTGCATTTTAGAAATTTTCCCATAGCTCAGGCACACTTCAGGGGACATTCCAAGTGTTGTGTTAACAAGTCCAGTGCAAAAGAGACACTGAAGAGCTGTGCTCTGTGTCACCGGACAGAAGCAGTGCGGGAGGAACTGTTCCATTTAGGAGTTGCTCCTCTGATTCCATCACCTGAGGGACAAGGCGCTTGACTTGCTGAGTTCCTCCGTCTTCTGAAATCTGTTCGGATTCGAGCTTTTGTAACTCGGCAGTACACAGAGGAGCCTGCTCTGTCTGAGCCTCTGTTTAAGATGCACGTGAAGGGCATGGGGGCAGGAAAAGGATGGGGAAGGGTTTCCTCCATCTCCAACTCTTCCTTTATGCAGTTCCCCGGTACTGTTCCAGGGAGTGAAAAGAAGCACCGAGGCTTTGGTTCTACAGGACAAACCTTTCAGCCTCGATTTCACAGGGTCACTGAGATGCAGCGGGAGTCCCATCCCCAGATGGATTCATGGGAGACTTGGGGGGAGGGAGAGAAGGAGCACTGGAGGGGGAGCAAAATGATGCCAGGGATGCCTCTACTCACAGTGTCTCTGAGCATTGTGTTAAATGTTAACATGGCGTGTGAAAATAAGAACTCCAGTTCTGTCCCCCAAGTCGGGAGCTCACCTGACCCTGACTAACTCTGCTTTTCCTCTCGGCAGGAGGGAGACCGTCTCAGTGATGAAGACTTGTTTAAGTTCTTAGCCGACTACAAAAGGTCCTCGTCCTTGCAGAGGAGGGTCAAGTCTATCCCAGGTACGGGTGGTGGGTTCTCTAGCTTTGCCCAAGATTGGGCCCTTTATTCATTTTTTTAATTTTTCAATTAAAAAATTTTTGTTTTTTTAAGTCTAATGATACATTTGATAAAATCACATTTGCCAAAAGGAAACGGGGGCGGGGGGTTGTATTAGGAATCCAGGTTGACATTTTTGGCCAATTTATATTAACGTTGTGTATTTATTTTTTTTTTCTTTTTGGGTCACACCTGGTAATGCACAGGAGTTACTCCTGGCTCTGCACTCAGGAGTTACTCCTGGCGGTGCTCAGGGGACCGCATGGGATGCTGGGAATCGAACCTGGGTCAGCCACGTGCAAGCAAACACCCTACCTGCTGTGCTATTGCTCCAGCCCCCAGTGTTGTGTATTTTTAAAATGAGCATTGAGTCTGTAAATAGATACTGTGTTTTTGTATCTGGTTTCTCTGATAGTCAGAAAAGTGTCTGTAGAGAGGACAGATACAGTTTATCAAATAAACTATCCGATGCCACCCTGTCTCTGTGGCAGGGCATTCCCTTTTGTTCTCTCTCTCCTTTTGGGTGCTGTGGTTTGCAAAAGAGACATTGAGTGGCAATCTTGTTCGGTCTATATTCTACTCTCATCACGCATTTCCCATCCTGAGAGACCCTCCCAACACCCTTTACTTGGTGTTCCCTTCTCTTTCTGAGCTCCCCCTTCCCCTAACATGTGTGGTTGTCCTCCGGGTCATTGAATAAAATTCCTGGTACTAATCTCTGCCATACTTGGGTGTTAGTTTCCTATTTTGTTACTTTATGTTCCCCAGATGAATGCAATCTTTCTATGTCTATCCCTTTCTTTCTGAGTCATTTCACTTAGCATGATACTTTCCATGTGGTACCACTTGTATGTAAATTTCATGACTTCGTCTTTTCTAACAGCTGCATAGTACTCCATTGTGTAGATATACCAAAGTTTCTTTAACCAGTCATCTGTTCTCGGGCACTCAGGTTTTTTCCAGATTCTGGCTTTTGTAAACAGTGCTGCAAACCACTGCATCCAATCTTGAGGCCCTGCTACCCCTGCCTGCACCAGGGAACCCCGTTTGAAAACCACCAGCTTTTCCTGCTTGTGATGCTGAACACTGGTTACTTCCTTATGTACCGTTAGCGCATGGTGTGGTACTTCTGAGGAGTACTCAAAAGATCCTCTAGTCCACTCCAGGTAGGGTGACATGCCTGGTGTGCTCAGGGCCCCGGCACTGTCTCGCTGCCCAGATACCTGCAGATATAGCCATGGTGGTCCCCCACACTGCTGGGGTGACTCTGGAGTCAAAGAGCCACCAGCACCCCCTTCCTCCACCGCCCCCGCCACCATCCAAAGAAATAAGCAAGCAAGAAATACAGACCTATGATAACAGGAGTCCTATACCTTTTATCATTTCTTGCCCTTTAACTTCTAGAAATTAAACCTCGAAAGTTGCCCTGACAGTCCCCCCCCCCAAACTGTAGGAAATCATCCAGGAATCACAAAAAATCATTTCTTTCTCTTCATGAAAGAATTCCAGTGCCACTCTCTTCTCACACTTCCTGAACCCTGGCCGCGTCTGCTGAAATAACCGTCTCTGTGCCTCTAGGCGTTCTCAGACTGGAGATTTCCCCGGCTCCAGACACCCTCAGCTGCTGTCTGACTCCTGAAATGCTGCCAGTGAGACCCTTTCCTGAAAATCGGACGAGGCCCCACAAAGAGATTTTGGAATTTCCCATCCGGGAGGTGTATGTCCCCCATACTGTGTACAGGTAAGGAACAAGGCTTTATTTGTTTGAAGTTTGAACGGCTGGGAGTTGGTGGGGGTGTGTGTGAAGGAACACACACACACACACACACACACACACACACACACACACACAGAGCAGTGAACAGGGTTTAGTCCTGACTCTGCATTCAGGGATCACTCCTGGTGAGCTTGGGGGAACATATGGAATTGAACTCAGGTTTTGCTGGCTGCAAGGTGAGCATCCTACCTTCTGTAGGGTCTCTCCAGCCCCAAGAAACAAAACTTTTGGGAAAACCAGTGGATTTGTGTTTCTTAGTGCTTTCATTATCTTTCAGCCCGTTTTCTTCCTTCCTCCTCTGGAGAAACCATAAAATCCAATGATGTTTATAGATAATTGCTGAATTGCTTTCTAAAAATGGCTTCTCTGTTTTTCCTTAAAAAGGAAAACGTAGGGCCACAGAGATAGTATATCGTGGGTAAAAGACTTGCCTTGCATGAGGCCAACAGGGATTTGATCCCTGACGACACATGTGATCCCATGAGCCCTGCCAGGAGTGATCCCTGAGCACAGAACCAGGAGCAATCACTGAGCACTGCCAGGTATGGCAAAAGAGAAAGAAAGAGAGAGAAAGAACGAGAGAAGGAGATGGAGGAAGGAGGGAAGGGTGGGAGGGAGGGAAGGAGAGAGGCACGGGGGGGGGGGGGGGGGGAGGAGGGAGGGAGGAAATGAAGCATTCCTAGGATGCAGGAGTTTCAGTTCCTCATTCCCTAGAGAGAGTTTGGAGGCCTGAAAATGTTTGTTTGTGGATGCTGTGGTTTTGTATCTTTTTCGAAGCCCTGTCCTATCATTGAGGGTAAAACTGCTTGTGGCATTGGACTATACTTGGACTAAATGAATTCTATAGATACTTGACTTTCCCTCCGCGTCTAATCCCCCATGGGAGGCATTTACAACTCTCGACTTCTTGCTGCAAACATTATCCCTTAATTACATCACAGTGGGACTCAGGACGCATTAGTGCATGGAATGATTCAAAAATGTAGGAGTGCTAAGGAGGACAAGTTGGAACGAATTAATCTGGACCCAACTTTTCGCATCACGAGAAACAAACCCACAAAGTGAACGTTCTTTAACTGTGCAGTGCATTGTGGCGGACAGACCAAGGCTTCCTGTTAAAAACTGGGTCCTGGTGGAGGGAAGTTGGCACTGGTGGTGGCATGGGTGTTGAAATACTATATGCCTAAAACTCAAGTATCAATAACTTTGTAAGTCATAGTTCTTAAATAAAAAATTAAAAACACCAGGTCAACTCTGGAAAATGATTAAGAACCCCCCCCCTCTTCCTTTTGGATCACAGGGCCCCAGCTCCAGACTCCCATAGTTTATAATTTGCTTACGAAAAGAGTTAAAGTGAATGTTGAATAATGACTTTTCTATGCACCCCCGTATGGGTGAGGTGTACGACAAAGCCTAGCAAGCTACCTGTGATGTATTCAATATGCCAAACACAGTAACAACAAGTCTCAAGATGGAGACGTTACTGGGTCCGCTCCAGCAAATCGATGAACAACGGGAGGACAGTGCTACAGTGCTATTTTTTACATCATATTTTCTTTGACTTTTATGAAGCGGAAGGACTTTTTTGTTTGTATTGAATAGCTTCTATAAATATTTTATTTATTGTGTTTTGGTTTTGGGGTCATACCTGAGCTGGAGCGATAGCACAACGGGTAGGGTGTTTGTCTTGCACACAGCTGGCCCGGCCAACCCAGGTTTGATTCCTCCGCCCCTCTCGGAGAGCCCGGCAAGCACCCGAGAGTATCTCGCCCACAGGGCAAAGCCTGGAAAGCTGCCCGTGATATATTCAGTACGCCAAACACAGTAACAACAAGTCTCACAATGGAGACATTACTGGGCCCGCTCAAGCTAATTGATGAACAACGGGAGGGCACCCACACACACGAATCACGTTTTCTGTTTTGAAGCAAAGGAGTCTGAATAAATTTATATTATTTCATTAATGATATATCAATGATGACATGAAACTTTATCATAGGTATGGTCTAAAGTTGTCTCTCTTCCAACATGCTAGTATGTTCTCATACCAGTAAGGAACAGCAGTCCCTGTTTTTAGTTTTAGAAAAATTGTGCTTCCAGCCCCCTCCCTCCAAAAAAACTCCAAAAGAATAAGATAAAGGAGTCAGAGAGATAGTAAAAAGAGATGGGTCAGAGAGTTAAGGCATTTGCCTTGCATGCACCTACAGTCCCCCAAGCATCACTCTATCACTGTCATCCCGTTGTTCATCGATTGGCTCGAGCGGATGCCAATAATGTCTCCATTTGTCCTTGTTGCATGCTAGTGTAGTCCGATGGCGTATTGGGGGCTCTTTCAGGGTCAAGGGAATGAGGACTGTCATTGTTACTGTTTTTGGCATATCGAGTACACCGCGGGTAGCTTGCCAGGCTCTGCCATGCAGGCAGAATACTCTCGGTAGCTTGCTGGGCTCTCCGAGAGGGACACACACTCCAGGAAATATTGCAGCACTTTCTTCTAGGAGCTGTTTTCTAGTCTCTGGGTCTTGGCTGTTGATGAGATTACATGGCACCGGGGGCATTTTATGGGTGTGACTGCCAAGCTACTGGAAAACAGGGAATCTGGGTGGAGCAGGCCCAGTCCTGATCCGAGCAGGCTTGGAGATCTCAGCCACAGGTCCCGCATACCTGGGTTCCTCTGCCGGTTCCTTTATGCGTGAGGCTCGTCCGAGTGTGTGGAGAGTGGCCTTGAGCATGGCTGTGGTTGGGTTCTGGAGGTTTTTTGGCTGCCGGGGTTCTGTTTGGGGTGGGAAGGGAGACTCAACCCCCTCTGAGGGGCCCCGGCGAAGACAGCTTGGCACGGAGGCAGGAGATTTTACCTTTGCATTCATCTGTGGTCCCCCAGGTACCCCCTGGAATGGTACTTGAGCACAGAGCCAGGAGTAAACCCTCAGCACTGCCAGGTGTGACTCCATGCATCCCACCCCCTTATAGAAGAAAAGCTTTGCTTTCCTTTCGTGAGTTCTGGACAGTATTCTAAGGTTTGCTAGCTAGCATAACTTTGCTTGCTGGCATTGCTCTATCCTGGTGGCAGATGTATCCTTTCAATGACATTGAATGGAAAATAAGGTGGGCAGAGTGGGTAAACTGAGGTAACTGTATTATATAGGACTCAAATCATTAATTTGAAATATAGCTTGATGGCTGGAGCGATAGCACAGCGGGTAGGGCGTTCGCCTTACACCCGGCCAACATGGCCGACCCGAGTTCGATTCCTCCGCCCCTCTCGGAGAGCCCGGCAAGCTACCGAGAGTATTCGATATGCCAGACACAGTAACAACAAAGTCTCCAATGGAGACGTTACTGGGCCCGCTCGAGCAAATCGACGATCAACGGGAGGGCCTTTACCTTTATAGCTTGATAATGAAAAATTTGATCTTCCTAGAACCTAGGGAGAATATCTCTAATGTACCCAACAAGGAGTGTCTTCCGTGATAAATGAATGTCAACTTTGTCTACTTTTTTGTTGTCTATGAGTTGCACCCAGCACTTCTCTGTGCCCAGGGATCACTCCTGGAGGGCTTTGGGACCATATGAGATACTGGGATCAAACTGGGGTTGGCGGCCTGCAAGGCAAACACCCTTCCTGCTGTGGTATCACTCTGGCTCCATCAATTGTGTGTGCTTTTGACGTCAGCCGCAGAGCTCCCCTGGTTGCTGGGAGCGATTCCGTAGCTCTGGGGTAGCTCCTGCCTGGCCTTCAGTGTGGGTGATAGCCCGAGTCACAGGTTCTAAGACAGGTGAGGTTTCTACTTCACACCTAGGATGAGAGCCTGAATCGTTTCTCTTGTTGTGGTGCTCAGGGTGTGGGACCAAGGATGGAGGTCAGTGCCTAGGGCGACCCCTCTCTAACCAAGCCTCAGCCGGACTTTGGACTCTCTTAAAGGAGCATCTAGTATGGGACCTAAAATAAAACAGCTTGGGAAACATAAAAATCGCCTTTCTGGCATCTGTCCCTCTGCTTTCCTCCGCTGCCTCAGTTAGAGCCATCCCTCCATCCTTCCTACACCGGCAGACCTGCACCAGTGCACCGATTTGGTGGGTGAAGACGAGACCACTGAGTTAGGGTCACCTGGGGCACTCTCCACATCGCGTCCTGTGAAGACGCTGCCCCTGCTGCCTCTAGCTGTTCACGGGGTGACAAGGGGACAGTCTGGGTCACTTACCGAAGAACTGCACAGGACTTTGGGAGTATCCCCCTGAGCTAGGGAGATGGAGCACTCTGACACGAGAGAGTCCAACGGGTCAGGCACTTGCTTAGCATGTGGCTAATTCCAGTTCAATCTCGAGTACCACATACCCTCCCTTGGGTACTGTCAGGAGTAATCCCTGAGCATCGCCGGGCGTGGCCCCAAACCAACAAACCAAGCGAACAAAAGCAAGCTCTCCTTCTGAGAGAAGAGATGAATTTCTGGAGCTTCACATGTTAATTCCAGTTACCCCAGGGTGCTCTGTAGCGTGCAGGCAGAAAGCCGTAAAAGGGGGTCCCTGCAAGACACAAAGCCAGGGCCTGGAGTCATAGCACAGCGGGTAGGGTATTTGCTTTGCACGTGGCTATCCGGGTTCGATTCCCAGCATCTCATGTGGTCCTCTGCGCACCGCCAGGAGTAATTCCTAAGTGCAGAGTCAGGAGTAACACCGTGTATCGCCGGATGTCTCACACACACACACACACACACACACACACACACACACACACACAAAGCCAGTCACAAGCAGGACAGTCATTGCACATGTAGACTGTTCCATAGCTGGAAACATGAGTGTGACGTGTCTTTCTCCAAGCCAGATGAAGAAAACAGTCACTGTTAGCCCAAGAGCATGTCTGAACCAGCTCCTGGCTGACTCTCCGTGTGGCGTTGCCCAGCAGTCACACGGCCACACCTGCTAGCGTCTGGTAAGGGCAGAGCAAAGGCCACCCAGAGCCC